TGCAGTAGAATTGACATAGGCGGCTCATGTACGTATCGCAATGCTGACACAAAATAATTAATTACTCATTACCCGAACGTTATTTATGAACTTTTATGATCGAACCATGTAAATAATGCATTGCTGACCATTCTTTAATCATAAAAGTTCATAAACTGTGCTCAAAAAGTGAGTAATTAACGATTTTGCATACTCATTGTTGTGTATATTCCTCCTACGCGCCGCCCGCGCATGCCACGGAGGAATAAGTACCGAAAAACCATATCCTCGTAGACTTTAATGCAAAATTGGATTTGCTCGCGCTTATGTACTTGACTTTTCAACTTTTTTATCCACGCTTTTCTCTTGCACCACTCAACCAATTCAACCGGATGACGCGGTTGACTATTTTTGCTTTAGCGTGAAATTTACTCGCTCGCTCAACATTGTTAGGTCAGGCGCGGAGCGCCTAATCAAACAGATCTAGTTTATCGAATGAAGAAATAACTTCTGAATGGTATTAGTTATTGAGCAGATTTTATGTTAATACATTTATCCTCTCAGTTGTGAAAACGATATTACAAACGGAGCGAACAGAGACGGATACTTATGATTTATCAGCATCTTCCATTGCCAAAACTTTTGCTGTGATTGGTTCCAATTCTTTTATACCGTCTTTGGATACCTTTTGTACCTTGAAATTGGGAAGATTAACTATTAACCGTTTATGTATTTCTCTGACGCATTTCTTCATTAGTATGTATGCTTCCTCTTCCGTTGAGTCTGTAATTATACAGGATGCCGAATTAATGTGTCAATATATTTAAGTATAATGTTTATTTACAATTATATTTATTACCGTATTTGTGATATCTGTCTAAAATAGAAAGAGAGAAAAATCCTCCGTAACCATGCGCTGCATAAGGCACTCTAACACACGATGCTAGATAATCAATGAAGTACAGTTCTGGTCCATTATTATTATCATAGCCTGCCATTAACAAGTTAACAAAGTACGGCGTTGTACTTCTAAGGTAATCTGCCAAATTTCTTCTAGTAAAGGAGGCAGCAGCTTTCGGCGATAATTCATAACCATTTCTCATTTTATAAAGTTGTATATTCTTTCCAATGTATTCCGAGAATTGAATGGTGTCGCCAGATTGTCCAGAGACTGCCATAACAAGTTTATCGGACATTTTATGAATCTTTTGTTCATCTGAAATAATAGAACCAATAGATGAAAGACAAAGTATGACTTGCATTCGTTACATATACAATAAAAAATGTACATTTATGTTAACACGCTAATATATGTTGAATTAAAGGTATAAGGTTTGGCATAAAATAGATATAACAATAGAAAAATAAGGATCTTTTTAATAAATTTTTGAAATTTAGTCAATAATTTCATACCATTTTTCATAACCATAATAGATTGAACCGTAGTCATATCGGCTGCAACTAATACAAAATCTTTAAACTGTATTCCAATTAAACATTCCATTTTGATGAAAGATTCTTTTGGTAATATCGAGTAGAAAAGAACACTCCGTATACCACTGAAAATTGCCTGTCACGAATTGTAAGGTTAAATTTTTGCGGCGAGAGTATAGTAGGCTTTATCACGAATCGTTTACATACTCTATGACGTATTCCTGTATATAGTTTAATACCGCGCTCTCTCTTCCGGATTTTAAAAATGTTATAAGGCTGAAACGTTCGAAATTTTTAAGGGACGATCGCTTACGGTGAACTTTAAACGCTTAATTTAATATGTACATTTCTTCGGAAGTAGCTTTAATCGAATTCAACTTAATCTATATCAAATACAATGTTTCGACGTTTCACGAAGGAATTGATTTCCTTGGAGGGATCCTAACGATGTGTTCAAGTAATTATATATACATATATATATATATATGCGTACATTGTTGTAGAACGTATTTTAAACATTATACGTATTAATTAGTCATGATGGAAAGAAGCGGGAAGTGGAGATTGAGAGAACAGAAATGACTGGTTCGCGTTTGTTAGTGTGCCGTTGCATTTCTATGTTAGTGGTAAAGGTCTAATCAATCTCTTATTCCTTTCAGGCTTATTATAGATGCCGGAGTACCGATAATTTCCTATGGGTTTGTTCAGGAAGAACGGACGTTGAACAGAGAATAGTTTTAGAGAGGTAACCTAGAAACTTGTTAAACGAACGAACTTCTTTGTAGAAAAACGGGGCACATACATTTGTTACAAGTTCCTACTCCTTCAAACTTTAAACTCGCTAATAAGCGTTTATACATTCTCCGTTATTGGAAAGAACGAATTCTTTTTAGCGTCTTCCGTTTCCAGACACGTTTCATGTAATCTGCTTTACCGACATATTTAATTTTTACGAAACAAATTATAAAGAATTGTATCCTTTTATAAATTCAACCAATGAAATGGCTAACATACGATAGAAATCAGAACTGTTGTGGTTTCGTTTATATTATACAGTTGTGGATAAAGCGGTTCTCTTTAAATATGACGGAAAAGATAATTGCGCTATGATAACTAAGAGTTTTTGTGAATACGAATCGCGGGTCTTGGTTGCGATTCAACTTGTTTCATTTCACTCTATTAGCAGAGGAAGATAAAAGGAATAGATGTTCAAAGCAAGTTCATGGAAAAATCGGCACGCTCAAGCTCGTTGAAGGTCGTTCGTTAGTCCCGTTACGTTACTATCCATCTATGACGTGTGTGACGCGTCACACAGTGATAGCTCATACGGCAAGTAAAATCTGCAAATACTAGCTGAATTTTGAGGTGGAATGCGAAATAAGTTGGGATTATAGAAAGAAAAAGGAAATTTTTATTTTTCAGGTTCGAACGAGAAAACGCATTGTAATCTGTCTCCGTAAAAGACATTTACTGACCGAATTATTTGATTGTTCGTCATTACAGAGTCGTTCGAAAATGGTCGAGACAAAGAGAAATTGGAAAATGCATTAACAAGTACGTTCACCTGAGGCTCGATTTACGTTTCATGAAGTACAGGTCGCTTCTATACACGGTGATTAGCGAGATCCTCCTAATAAGAAGACGCTACACTAGCATTCCGCTACTGAAACAGTTATGATGAATCCCGATCGCTGAATCCAGGGTGCACGCAACACAAAATGGGCCTTGACGAAGAAAAGGAAAGCCTATAACGTTACGGACGAGCGAATAGGTTGATCTAGCGTACGGTCGATGCATTTAGTCTCGGTAAATTTTTTCAGAAATAACTGTTACGAAGTTTACCAGTGATCGACGCGATAAATTTAAAATGATCATATCGGTGAAGCCATCGTTCCCTTAAACGATAATAACAATATTTCTTATTACAATGTGTTATACCTAATGTATTTAATACCGCGACTGAATAATAAAATTTCAACTACTTGGAAATTCATCGAATTGAATCAGACGCGTATTTCTCTTGGCTTAACATTTCTTTATGAAAGCATAACATTCTGTTTCCACTTATATGTATAGACTTTCTGTTAAGAAAAGAGATTTTTACGAACGTTTTCTTCGATCTCATTCATGAATTTATTGTATTTTTTTTTTCTGATGTTTCCTTCGCGAAACATTCGCCTTGTAACTGGTTTACTCTGGGTAGCGCGACAGGAATCCGGGGTGACGAGAAATCCTAGTAAGAACGTATTCGTATGTGGGTGAAAAAATGACATCGGCTTCTGTTACAAACGATAATAGATCTGAAGATTTTCAAAGAATTTACTAGTGTTTCGGGCCGAGACGATTGTTCGACAACTTTTACTTGAAATTCTTTCTTTCTTAAACAGATAATATATCTGTTTTAGAATACGACATTTAATAGAGAGAGTCAATAAGAATTAGCTTAATATAATGGTACATCTTGAAAGATTCATCGAGCAAATTGTAGAGAGAAGAGTAGAGAAGAGAATTTGAAGGGAATAAAAGGCACGCGAAACGTCGAAGAGCGTAAAATCTGAACGAAAAGTATTCGAAAAGTAGAGCTTGGTGATCGACGACGAAGAGCGAGGCGGTGGATTGGTCAGTTCCATTGAAAATAGTGCCAAAGGTGTGTGGTCATTGGCCGTGCGGCTTACCCCCACGTAAGCGCGCAGGCTATATAGAAGACCCCGCGAGGAATTTCATCTTCAGAACTGAGAGTCAGTGTCAAGGAAATCTACCTGCAAGTAACGAAGTGAGCAAAAGCTTGTTTAGCATCGCATTGGATCAAGGACAGCTAACAAATTTGTGGATCGTTTCTCTTCTGATCGTTTCTCTCTTCGAAATATGTAAGTAGCGCGTAAGCGTAAACACGATTCTTGATACGATTTTTATCGGTTTCCGACGCGATAAACTGTTTTGCTTTTGTAGTTACATAGTTTAGAGACCGAACAGTAAAAATAACTAGACGAGAAATTAATTCGGTTATCGTTTTCAATTATTTTAAACTCGACGTACGAAGTCTCGTTGCTTGTTCTTTACTTGACAGATCGAAGGAATCCGCTGTTCAAAATCAATACGTCGAAAGTTTATAAAGCGAACATTTTACGGGTTTTTTTTTTATTGACACTAAGTCGAGAATCGAGCTCGGAACAGGTAAGGAATACCTTTTGCAGGTACAAGCTGTACAGTTAGAAATTGCGAGCGATTTTTCTGGCGCGGTAGATACCGTTTTCGAAAGGCGTGGTATACACTGTACGTGTAAGGTTCGCTTCTTGTTTGTTTTCACGGTGTTGCACGCGATACATGTCGTCCAATTCCTTTAACTGTATTTTATAACCCGGTACTAACCGGGTGGAGTTATTTCATTTCCTAAAATTTATATGCCTATCTTAATATATTATTAATTATTAAAAAATTGTATATATATATACACACAACATTATTTTATATAGATATTTAAAAAGCAGAACGGTATGCGATGAAAAAAGTGCGGTCGAGAAAAATTGTTCAAAAGAGATTTTCAATAATACGGGGAGTTAAAAAATCTGCACGGTTTTAATACTCTCTAGAAGAATATTTCGAAAGAAGAACCTCTGTGAGGTTGTTTTTCTTTTATTTTCTGGTTTTTCGCTAAACCAATCGGTGCAATGGAAGACGACGAGGGCGACAGTAGGTCGCGACCGCGTTTTCAAGTAACGGTACCTGCCGGGTTCAACAAACCGGTAGCTTGGATCAAGAAGTGGGCTACCTGGTGCTGCCAGGGTGACCTTAACCGCTCTGACACACTTTCCAGCCTCGCTTCGCGTCGTTCCTTAGCCTCGTTCAGGTTTATCCGTTCCGTGTTTAAGCGATCGCTTCGTCTTTTCTTAACTCGAAGATCAAGGTCATCGATAGTAAGTAAAGTAAAGTCGGGTAGGTTCATCGATCTCTAGAGGCAAAATACGTATATTTAATTGGTGATTCACGAATTTTCTCTCGAGTAGGTCGTTCTTCTTTCGAATCATGCTACGATTACGGAAGGAGAGAGTCAACGTTCGTTCCTCTTTTAACACGTTCATTTAATATAATCGAATAATTATAAAAATTCGATCTTCTCTCGATAAGGGACGGTTAATTGTTCTTTGCAGAATGCATTACAACCAGTACGTGTCGCTATGCTTGGTCGCGCTTGTCCTGGGACAAGCAGCAACGCTGCCACAGCATCCTCAGTATCCGCAACAGTATCAACAGCAGGTTAGGGACGAGAGGAAGTTTGCTGAGAAACCGAACGCCATGAAGAAGGTTGCCCTCGATGATCTGGACGATATCAGCACCAATCAGATTCAAGTGAGCACGTTCATCAAATTATTTATGCGTGTTACGACTGTACTAACGGACAAACGGTATTCATCCAACCTTTTTAGGATGGCTATTGTCTATTATCTTTTATAGGGATTCGAAGCCTCGGTAATTAATATTTTGAGATCTCGGTATAAGGTCTTATGCTTTCTCCCGCAAGAATCTTTGTGATTATATATCTCTAATATTAATATTTCATCGTGTATCATACGTTCCATCGAACTGTTTCATCAGGAAGGTAGCAGTACCGGGTTTTCGTGGTCGAACATGTTGAGCATGCTGATGCAGATGTTACTAGGACAAACTGGCGGTGTAACTGGTCCGAGTAAGAACGAGATCGACGATGGCGCACCGGCTAGTCCATGGGCGAATTTGCTGTCGGTTGGCCTCAGGGTACTGACGGCTTTGCTAGGAGGTCCGCAGCAACCCGTTGACGGTATCGACAAGGTTGACAATCAGAGCAGTCCCATGCAGGTATATAGTAAATCCTTTTGATTCCTTGCCTTCAAGAAAGATGCGTGAACATTTTCTTCCCACGGTTTTTTTGAGTGTACATCTTTTTTCAAATGCCCTCTACAACTACGGTCATTTCCGCTTGAACGCGAGCGAAGAATCTGAAACAGCGAGTAATCTCGTTGATCGGAGCACAACAAATCGGTCCTCCGATTTCAAAGTGGTTTTAGAAAGCAATGGAGGACCGTTGAAATTGGTTTGAAGCGACAAGAGCAACGAGTTTCAGAGACTTTCATTGGAATTCGGGTCGCGGAACGAAAGCACAAGCCGAACTGACTGTATATCGCGAGAGCCGATGTGGGTCAAACGCATCGCAGAACTGAATTATTCCATGGTTAACAGCCGTGCAATAATCGCCTCGACGAGTCACATTCCTCTCTTCTCTTCTCTTTCTATGGAAATCTACTTGTTTTCGTTCAACTTTACACCATGGGATAATTCGATTTCTTTCCTCCGTAGATTATTTAGATTAAATACGACACGCTGTACATTTAAATAGCTAATTAGATTTAGTTGCACATCTATCGCAGTAGGTTGTACATCGCTAAGCATGTTGTTTATCTAAAAAATATTTACATTGAAATATTACTTAAAATATAATAATAATTTTTCTTTTTTCTTCTTCGAAAGAAAGACGAACGATAACGGAAATAAAATCACAACGATGTACAACTTGCTTCCAGACACGTGCGACTGCTTACGGTGACGAAACTCATTGTCTCTTCGGCAATTAAGTGCCACGACGTTACTTTCGCACGGCGATTTGGCTCCCTTAACGATCTTCACGTTTTCTAAACAATTTAATTCTATTCCGAGGCGAAGTTAATTATAAATATAAAACGCGACACTCTCCCTGATCGAAAGAGAGAATATTTACTGTCTCTTGTTGGTAACAGAAACCTACAAAGTCTGCATTGATTCGATGCAACGGATTTATCGTATTTTCATGATAATTCACCAAGTATATCAACAGTATTAATCGTAATGTAATTGTTACTGCCTCATCGAGTAAAATTATTTGAAATCTCGATAGGCGATAAGCCTTTTGTATCGATTCGATATATGTTAACATGACCTTCTATACTTAATATAACGGTAATTATCGTGAATGTTCAGCGTATCCATCGCAAAGTTTATCTATTGCTTTTGGGGCGACGTTAAGATACCTATTCGTTGTACATAAACGATCATGAGAATGTCAACTTAGAGCACACGGCTGGTGTCGGTTGTTTAGGGCATTTTGACTGCGGTGCTGGGCGCGTTTCTAGGACAGGGCAGAGACCCCGATCAGGTTGCTGTCATGGCTAAAAACGCTTCCGAGGTTAGTAGAATGCTTCTCTTCTATCGATTTTCCACTTTTCGATTGCCGTATAGAGATTGCCGTTTGATCTTCACGAGAATCATTACGCGTTTATAAGAAACGCGAGAGGATCAAAGAATCTTCGAAATTTCTTGTACGATTCCAATCAGCTCGATTTTATTCTTCGATAGTTCATTAGCATCGTGATCAACCTGTTAGACGCGTTGAAGACTTCGTTCTCTCATCGTTCGTTGACGGCCAGATCCATGGGAAGACGGGACACCGTTTCGGAGGCAGCCGTCGCGTCCATTTCGATGCTCAAGGTATAACGACCTGTTTATCTAGAAGCAAAATGTTTTGCGTTTAAAACTGATCTTATTAATTAGTGTTGTAACGAACGGAATCGAAATATTTCATGCAGGGTTACATGAGATCGGTGAAATCCTTTAACAACGTTGGTCGTGCCGAGGACGAAGGTCAACGAGGTTGCGCCGAAAGAGCGCTCTGCGAGGCAAGTGCCGAGTGTGTTGCGGATGCTCAGGGTACATCGTCCATCTTTTGTCAGCTTGGATCGTAAGTATTCTTCTTCGACAATATCCTAAAACGCGATACCATTATTTTAACTTTCTCGAAAACTTTAGATTCGTGTTTGTCGCTTTTAGGTACGCGACCAGTTATTTGCTGCAGAGGCAGAGTGGAGTAGGTTTTGAAGCGCTCTACGAAGCGGGTCGACGCGGACGTACAGGAGAAGATTGCAGAACTCTGTTCGTCGACTGTAACGCCGTATGAAGAAACGGTTACGTCTCGATCTGTTCAAGTACGATTTAGACGCTCTGGGACACCATCGATTTCCATTTACATTCCTCGGCATTCTTTCTCTCTCGTCCCGAGGTTTAGATCGCACCTGAAACGGTGGACAAAGTAGCTTTAGACGCGACGTGGAATATGCGTAAGCAGCGTGCAGGGACCAAAACCGGAAACCTAACTCTCTCATTCGCCTTACGTGTACAAACACGTAAAGATGTCGAAATGAAATTGGCTTATTTAAAATCAACGCGTTAAGATTAAGTTTTGGACGACTCGGGTTCTTCACAGCGAGATAAACGAAAAGAAAATCATATTCTAAATATCTTGAAAATTCACTATGTCATAGGATCATCGTGTATATCTGACCAATCATATAATAACTTATTGTAGGAATTTTTGCTACCTTCGTAACTACGAAGCACTTTTCCATAGACACCAAGAGAGAGTTCGTTAACGTAGACTCTACATTTCTAAGTATACCAGTGTGGATTCTACGTTCTTGACAGTTTTTCTGAGATAGACGTAAAGAGTGTTAGGTTGAGAAGGAACACGTGCACGCGGTGGGAAACACTTAACGTAGAAATAGACTGAACGAGAATATAGGCCTAGGCGAACTGTGAACCGTTCGTTTGGGTCTCTCAACGAAAATCACGATATTTATTTCTATTTATTTGAATTTATTAAATCTAGTAGAGTTAGTGTGTACTCTCTCTCTCTCTCTCTTTCTCTCTCGAGGAATGGATCGGTTATGTCGCAGAAGATGTTTTTAGCAAAAACTATCTAGAGGAGCAGTGAAAGTTTAATTGAATGTTTTTTGATAAATTAGAGTCGTTTGATAATTCTGTACTTTTCTACGCTAACGACAGATCCGTGCTCGAAAGATTCTTTATTATACGTACAAGCTAACGTCTCAGGATATTGTGTTTGTTCTGTCACCCGCTAAAAATTATCTCCTGTATATATGTATACGTATAGCTACGTGAACACGCATATACATATATACACGGTTAGGTACACGCACACATATACATATACCGACACACGCGGGTGAAGTGTTTCGCAATAGCCACCTTTTATTTAGCTCGGTTAGCGTATCAATTAGAAGTAAGTTGTATGTATGACGTGTGGTACAATTATACTTAAATTCAAGCTAATAAACGGTCTTATTAATAAATAATCTTATTCTCAAGACTAGACATCCTTTATATTCCTGAAATGGTCCAAATATATATAAGAAAATATTTTGACTTATCGGTCTTTAGAATTAAACGACGAAATAAGTAATAAATAAGTAATAAAGTTTTAGATCAAGTACAATTTCGAGAACAATGTAGATTTAACACCGGTGCAACCGGTAGGAAGACGTCATTAGGAACCATGACAATCTACGTACCGTGACAGGACCGACTATTTGTCCTCTGGCCGTAACAATCCGTTTTAGTAGCTCGCGAAGAATATCCAAGATCACGACAGAGCCACAAGCTCTTCCTTCTTCGAGGTGAAGCGAAAATATCCGAATCATTGTCAAAAGTTACATCTCGTATATTATTCTATATTGTTCATATATTGTTCTTCAGATGACGTTCAAGTCTTTAATGAACTTTGGAAATTACGCCAAGGGTCCTTATCATCCAGCGACGGACAGATATCACGGTAGTTCCGGCGGTTTCCATCATAGCGGATCTGCTGGCTATTACCATGGTTCGCGAGGGTAATTACTATATCGTTTCGAAACTTTTCTGATCATCGATCATCGTCTTTGACAAACCTAAAATAAATATTCTTGTAGAAGCAACAAGGGTAAAGGCGGAAGCGGAGCAGCGTTGAGCGCGTTGACCTTATTAGCCTTTCTGTTCCTTATAAACGTGATGCAGGTAATTATTAGTCGAGCTTTCTGATCACGTCAACTGGGACGCGAATTCATTGTTCTGTTGGTGGTGGATATTGTTTCGTCCTGTCTAAAAGAAAACGTTCGATCGTGTATAATTACTTTTCAGATTGGTTCGTAACACCTAACTAAATCGTACCTGTCGTTACAGCAATCCATGCAAGATACTAATACGATGACAACACCTTCGACATCTACGGTAGTGTTGAGAAACGGTGACGATCAACCGGTGGTGGTAGATGCAAAAGAGGAGAAGGAGAACAAGAAGAGGGACGAGGTGAAGCACGACGGTATCTACGGGGTATCGATAAAATCCAAGATCCAAAGGCTTAACAGTCAATATATTAATTAAATGAAAGTGATTTGTACACAATGATTCGTACAAGATGAACGGTAATTCACATAGACAGGATGAAGAAATTAGTTGAAACTTTCTTTCGTACCGGTATAACGATCCATCCTGAAGGATCATCAATTTTATTAAGATAATATTCATTTGAATAATTCTGTAACAATTCCTTAAAACGGATGTGCTTCGAAATATCGTATATGTATATGTATACACTTTGTATTTTCTTTTATTTCTTTCTGTTTCTTTGTGTGTGTGATTTCCTTTCTTCACTCACTCTCTCTGTCTCTCTCTCTCTCTTTCTCTCTATACTTATATTTATATCTTGTTTGTAAGTTATATAGTAGCAGTATAATTCCTTCGAGAATAAACATACATATATATACAGCGAAAAAAATCTTGGATTTCTTTTTGTCATTCGTTTTTTACGCGAACGAAGATACGGATCGAACTTCCGTTGATTTCACGCACAACTCAGTCAAAAGATATAATGTATTATATATATATATATATTTTTTTTTTTTGTTATATTTATAAGAATAGACTCTATAGGTATAATTTAATGCTATTTATGAGAAAATAACAGGCTTAGAGCCGTCCACGACGAAGCTTTCTTCTTTTTTACGGACTTCTTTTCTTCGAATCTTTTCTTTTTTGTATTATTCATCCTCTTTGTTTTTCTATCGACCTTTCTCCTCGTCGCTCTGAAACTTAGCTTACATTTCGATCGTGTGTGTGCTTGCTTGTAATTGCGTGTATATTTTGAAAATACACAATTTAATTAAGAATTAAATTTGATCAATATCCTGTTTAAATTGTATGAACTGTAACAGAAAAGTGAAAATAATGTATAGTCTAATGAAATTTTTCTGCAATTCGTGTGGACGATTCCTTGCCACGGACTTATCCGCAACGTTAACGACGATCTTAACCTTTTGCTCGTAATATCAAGCTTGTCTTTGATTTCTTACAACTTTTTGACGGCGATAGAACATTTGAATGTCTAGAGGAACGCAGTTTGAAATGATTGAACCAACCGTCAAAACACAAAACATTATTTTATTCTCTTTAGCTGACAGCTTCTTTTATTCTCTTTCGTATCTTTCCTCGCTCTCGCACACACTCGCTGTTTCTCTTCGTTTCTTTCTCTCTCACACACACATCTTCAAGATATGCACTCTCTGAATTCATTTTATTTATATACACAACGTTAGAAACATTTAAATATTCTTTTAGATTTGCTCGTAGTTCGTCGAGTATCTTCTAAAATAATCATGAACTGCGTGTACGTGTTATGAGTATTGCTAAAAGGAGGAGCGTGAACGGTTGGTTACCGAGGAATATCCCATCGTAGTTCGAGGATGTTCCTTTCCTTTCTTTATTTCTTTACCGAGACACAAAACGGTTGAATTTTTCGTATTCGAATGGATACGTATCACAGTTGAAATACCATTAAATTGCTGAAAGTTAAGAGCGTTTTCCTTTTAAAAAAAGGAAAAATCATCAATTAAATCGATATATCCATTAAGGTTAACGATCGAATCTGAACTCGGTTTTAAATTCAGAAATAATTCAGAATTTAAATGACCAACTTACGATCTTAAACATCTCTACATCTACATATTTCGAATATAGATTTCTAAAGAACGAAGAATTTCATCTATCCAATACCAGATCATCCATGTCAGAAGATTTTCTCTAAGGAGTTCAAGTTTCGTCTGTATGCAACAGACGATCTCCAGAGGTTCCTCCGCGTCTGATTTTTTTAGACGATTCAAATAAATATCGAATACAATGAAGTTGTATAATCGAAGTATACCCGAGGTAAAGGTAGCGGAGACAAATAATAATCGACATCTAAGGACAAGACTCGCTGATCGAAGATCCTAATTAATTACCTTCTATATGCCCATTAGATTGTATTTTGTCGCAATGGCAAAAACGGAATAAATCAATTCCTAAACGTGTATGCGAGTCTTTCTTTTCGTTTCTTCGCCTTTTAGTTAGAACAGAAGTGATCTAAAACGGCTCGACGGACTTGTAAAACGAACAAGGAAATTATGAGATGGAATAGATGAGTTTTCTTGGTGAAGAAGAAATCCCTCTGCATCTAGAGCAGGTGTCTGCTGGTAGGTATCGGTAAGTCCACGATGCAACCTGGTCTTCGAATTCGAGCCTAATTCAAACGTAACATAGATTTTAAGCGAATAAACTTACGCTTTGTACCTACTCGTTTTACTCGAACCAACCTAGGCTTTTAAGCCAAAGTCTAATTCTAAAATTGAAATCCTGCCGATAAATGATGAACGATGATTCTCCTTTTCGCTTTACTACGGGATTTTTCTGTCCGATGGACTTATAAAAGAACAACTCTGAGTTAGAGTTTCTCTGCAGCTCGTTTCAGTGGAATAACGAAAATAAAATTGAACTTTGGAAGTTAAAATGAAGCTAGTTCGATTAAAAGAGGAATATACACTAAAAACCGAAGCACTCTAATGATCAGAGTGAGAGTGCAATCGATACGATTCTTGTCATTTGATTTTCAACTCCTTAACGATACCATATTTCGCTTTGTCGGCTTAGGTACACACCTTAGGTCTGTGGATGGTGGCTCGTTTCTGAAGGTACGCTTTTAAAGAGTCATTACATTTTCGAATGTAACGTGAATTCCATGGATATGAAACGCACCATGGTGGTGCACCGTTTATGAAACGGTGATTATGTACACGCTTTCCTCGCATATCACGCATTTTTCTCGCATACCGATTGTTTACACACACGATACCGATAGAATGACGTATCAATGAAATGCAGGAAGAAACTCCTCGCGATTTTTTTACCGAACCCGCGATATGAACCAGAGAAAACGATGCTCGAAAAAGTCATGATTCGCTAAAACGAATCGAATAATTACTTAACGATAATTTGCTTTTTAACATTCGATTAATTTTTCGCGCTTTAAACTCTTCTATATCAACGTAACATTTACAGATCTAAGGTTATCTACATACATGATATGAAGCGTCACGTTATCCTATCGCAACGAACTAACGCTTTCTTCGCGCAACTTTCTTCCTCAAATAGAACTTTCGTTCTTTTCGAACTTCAACATACTTTCGATACAATTCAAATTCAGCTAGCTAGTTATTTTTCAGTAATTTCTTATTACGAACCTCGAGAAGCAATTTTAACAATTTCGAGTACAAGCCACCGTCCACAACCATCGTGTATTTGCGATTAACCGTATACTTAACCGTACGGAAGCTTTTGGTCAATGTGTACACACGATTTTGTCCGTTAAGAAAATACAGAAACGGATAACCGATGAACCGTTTGTTCGCACAACGGTTACAGAGATCAGAAGGTGGATGAGATACTAGGAGCAAGAGAGATACTCTGTCTGTACTGCGATGCTATTGCTTTAAAGTTCGTATTCGAACAAGTATATCTATTATATTATAATCGATCAGATCGGGGTGTTTATTTCGCTAGCCGACTTGTCGTCTCTGCACGATGTAATCGATGTCCGTCTGTTTCAGCTAAAGCGTTCGAGTCAAAGCGGAGTTCAAACCATGATTCGAGCGCGGTAACGATGGAGTTTTCGTGGAAGATACGTTTCGCCCGAAAAAGTTCTAGGGATTTTCGCGCGGATCAGAAACTCTATTACGAGGTTATGTACAAGTATTCGACGCTGGACGATAGCAAAAATGTAGCGGAATTTCCGTGGCCCTTGCGTTTCAGTGAAATCGACGCGGATGAAGCGGTTTCACGATTTCGAAGAACTTATATGGGGACAAAGACGACAAAAGACGAGAAAAGGCGAGAAAAGACGAGAAAAGACGAGAAAAATGTCCGAAACGATCGACAGAGTTTGAACTATGGGTTGGTTTTGATTCGTTATAGGCTGAAAAACGAAAAATAGTAAAGTGGCAGAGGGCTTCCCGAGATTCTTTTCGTTGCCGTCGAGGCTTTACTTTCAAGGTGTACGTATTCTCCGAGACACCCTGTGTACGATCTGCACGCGTTTCCCGAATAACAAACGACTCTGCGCTTTTACAACTTGACGAGATATCGTTAACGAGACGTATTCCAATTCACAGGGATGATCGTTACGTTTAAAACCGTCTGTAACCGGTCCCTCTAAATAGGAATAATCAACGAAGAAACTCTATTAAATGCGAAGACACGATCATAGATAGAGAGTACGTTCTTGAGCGAAAAGGTCCGATAGAAATTCGAGAACACAGCTAGACGCGCGCTACAACGAGCAACGAAGAACTCGTCTCGAAGAGAGAGAGAGTGTATCGTTATGGAGAATCTATAAAAGAAAATAAGAAAAAAGGTAGAATAAGGCGAGGCGTGCCGTTGTTTAACTATTATTGGTGCAGGCTATCTCGTCAGTCTCGTCCTGCGACACGATGCTGGACCTGTTCGATCTCACGTCCAGGTCTATGCTAAACGGTTTCGAGGAGCCTGCGTACAATGGCTGATTATTGCCTTCCTCGATGCTCAGGCTGCACTCCAGCGAGCTGTCACTGAAAGTACAGAAACAGACCTCTACTCATCACTAGCGTCTTCGACGATCGCCCTACGAGACCGGTTCTGCTTTGATCGACGATCGTACCCGGGCTTGTTTACCTGACGATGCTGGCACGGTCCATCGAGGTGGAACTCGGTACCGTGCAGTTATCGCCGTTGCACGGTCGTTCGCCGTTGCTGCTACAGGAAGAGGATGTTCTCGTTGTTGTCGGTTCTTTCATCGATGCTCTTCGAGACTCCTCGTGGCACTCGCATCTGCAACGCCGGTATTATTTTTTAATAAGAGAATACGCGATCGCTAGGTACGCGGAACGAGAAGGGTTTACCTGCACTCTTCCGGTTGTACGTAATTGTACCCGGCCGATTTTCCTTCGTCATCGGGACGCGGGATCGTTTGAATTCTTTTCGGTGCTTTCCTCTTTTCCGGAATCTCCTCGAAATTGATCCAGTTGCTTGGTCTCGCGGACGCTCTCGGTGGCAGTGGTGGTGGACTCGGCGATTTCCCGGCGCTCTTTCGCCCTCCATCGGGCACCTTGCCCGCAAACTCCATGAACGTATTTGCCGCGTGCTTTCTCGGACTCTTCAATTTAAAACTCTCCTCCCGGGGCAACGATATCTTCATCTTCTCCACGCGACGCTCGTCTAGAGATGTTTGCATCACGAACTCGTCGAGCAGAGTCCGATTTATGGGTGTCGTGGACCGAGGCCTCTCGATAGGTATTGTTCTGAATCATGGATGCGAGATTGAAAACGCGCGATATTCGCGAAGCTAAGAAAATGATCGTTAGTCGCAAATGGATTTTTTAAACGAACAGTTACCTTACTTCCTGAAGTCGTTGTTTTACGGGTAGGATCGGCACAGCTACGCTCTTCTCCAAGGGCAAGGTGGTGGGTACATAAGGGAGATCCTCTTCGAAGCTCTCCTCGTAAAACAAACCCTTTCTCTCGTCGGGCAATTCCTCGGCTAGTTTCTCAGCCTTGTTTCTTATGAACTCGATCTCGGAGTCTCTTTCCGATTCCGAGCTATTGTGATCCAAGTCGGAGATGACGCTGGACGCCTTCGTCAGTCCATCCGCTGGCTTGATCACGTCGTCGATAAAATCGGATGTTCTGCTTTCTGTGCTTTCGATCGGCTCTTCTTTCGGCTGTTGTTTCTGTTTAACTTCGTCTATTCTTTCCGGCGGTTCTATCGTTTGCTTAACCTCTTTGCTTCTTCTCTTCGGTTTCGTGGCTTCTTTCTTACCGATCGAATCTTTCGAAGAACTACTGGAAACCCGATGTTCCGCTTTGCTCTTCGTAGACGATTTCGCGAGGGTTTCGCTCGTTTTAGCTTGACCGCTTAACTTGGAGTCCTTGGAGGAACTCCTGGAAATCTCCGAATCCTTGGATCCGCTTCGAGGCACTCGATTGTCCTCGGTGTACGTTCTCGGGGATGTCTCGATTAGAGCCTCGGTTCTGATTCTCGACGGCGGTGGATAGTGTTCTATGGACACTTCCGTGACTATGCTTCCTGTACGAGGCTCAGATTCGTACTCGTCCAACAGTTTCGTCGGCGTTTCCAAAGGGATCGAGACGCTCTCCGAAGGCAACGCCTCCTCATAGTTTCTGTCGTCGGCGTGGAGGCTTATGAAGATCGAGTCATCCTTGCGGTTCTCCTTCTCGGCGTTAAACCGAAACTCTACGTGACCGATGCTCTCCAAGGACGGATGTTCGCCGCCGCCGGTGTCGAGATCGGTGCCGCAGGAGGCAGCGATAGCCTCGTCGTAACTCTTCTTCCGCTCCCGTTTTTTGAACAAACTCAACGTCGACGAGAATACTCCTTTGTTCTTCGATTCCTTTTTCAAGCTAGACCCTCTGTCCATGGACACTCTTTCCCTCGATTTCGATCTGCTGCGCAGACTCTCCGTGGTATCCTTAATCTTCGAGGTGAGACTACGGCGCGGTTTCGTACTGGGTGACGGCGATTCTGGACTCAAAACACTGCTGTCTGTGCGGGCCTTGAAAAGTCGAAGATGCGGTGGTCAGAACATGCACTGTCTTTTTTTTTTCTCTTCTCGTTAAAGCTAGCGGATCTTCTACAAAGACAAAGCGAGGAATCCATGTGCTGGACTGGGCGAAGCGAAGAAGCGTAGAAAGCTTAACCTATTTTTCTCTATTCTCTATTCTCTATTATCGGTAGCTTAGGATTGAAACTACTGTTTAAATGGAGGAAGTACCTTGAACAGGGAGGTGAAGCTGCTCTTCCTCGAGACGGAAGAGGGACTGGGAGTTCGCGAACCCTCGAGATCTCGTACTTTCTGATGCCTAGGCAGTTTCGGACTGCCAGTCACGCTGCTCGTTGTGGGAGTCGTTTGCACGATTTCCTTAAAGTTCTGAGTCTTCTTTCTCTTGTCGTTGAAGTCCAACGTGGCTGGCTTCTGAACCTCCTGCGCTTGATTCTTCGGTGTCTGCTGTTGGGACGTTATACTCTGTGTATCGGCTGGCTTCTTCGCGATAGGTACCTGTGGTCCACGTATACGATCAACTATTTATCCGTGTACCTTAGAAATCAGCCACCGTAGTCGAACAACTCGAGCGAATCCTTACCTCTATGTTCACTTTCTCTAAAAATCTCTTGGTAATTTCCACTTCCCGCTTGAAGATTTCTTTCCTTTCCTCGCGGCCCCGTCTTCGAGGTTTGTCCAAGGGATCTGGTTTCAAATTCCCATCGACCATCGACACCTTTATGCTCTCCGGAATCAACGCTTTGGTAGTATCAGCCTCCCGTTTCAACAAAATCTTCTCTAGGTCGTCTGTTTCTGGCTTCGATGGTTCGATCAAATTGTCCGCCAGCGTTGGCTTGCTCCCGCAGAACGACGTTTCCAACAGACACTTGTGCGGACTAGGCGACCTACGACACGACACTGATTAATACAACAATTATTCGGATCTAACGGATTAACTAGGACGGATTTACCTGGAGGAGGTAGCAGAAACGACGGAGAGCTTGCCAGAAGCTCCGGAACCTTGGCTACCCACGGAAGAGAGTCTCGACGTTCTTCCACTGATATTCAATAAAATGATCTCCGAACAGTTGCTGTCCTTGCGTTCTCTGTCCAATTGTCTGCTGCTATAATCCGACTGAGAAGCATCGTCCTTTCGTCTTTTCGCAAGTTTCTTCGATTCCCTTCTGAGATCCTGTTCATGAATGGGATCTTGCAGATCTAACTCCTCCGTTGAGGATCTCAAATCTTGAGCATCCTCTTTGTATCCTAGAGTCAGCTTGCACCCAGGTGGAGGCTCTCCGCCTAAAATATCGATTTAGATCCATTCTTAATCGAAGCTGCACGATATCTTTTATACGTACGTAGAAATAAAGACTCGAAATAGCTACTTAACGTTACTTCTAATTCTTTGTACTGTCAATACACGATCAATATACATACATACATACATACATATAGGATATATTAGATAGAGGTAATGGTGTACTATTTAGTTTTTCGAGGAATTCTACCGCTTGCTTTTCAACGTTTCCATTCGATTACTGTCTACGATAGCGTCTCGCTCCGATACAACGATAGTGGAATCGATATATTACTAGGCTAGTAAAGTGGTGCTAATATACTAGTTACTACCAGCGGGGCTAGTATTACGTTATCTAACGGACACTTTGAGCGTAAACGAAGCAAACGAGAATCGTGTCGCGTTTGTGTGTCGCTTGACAAAAGCGAGCCTGTTTCTCGAATATAGGACAAACTTCCATTCGATTCTCCCGCAACTCGGGACGCGTATTAATTCGCGCAGTACGCGTATCTCGAGGGACCATTTAGACTAATTTAGAGCAACGGCGATCGATTAAAACTTGCTTTCCAAGTGCCACATTAGAATTCGCAAGAATAAATTAAAGAGTTTCGGTAGTCGTAGAAAACGGTAGCCTTACAATTTCGATTTCGTTTCAAGCCTCGAAAAGCTTCGAGAGAAACTACAGCTAACACACACGCACACACGGTATAAATATTATGTTTGGTTTCGATCAATTTCGTTACCTTTAAAATAGTGGACAGACCGATCGGATCCGGACAAGCTGACTCTCGACAAAAGTAACAAGCTGTCGCTGTTTGGTCACGTTATCGCGACTAAAATTTCCACGCGAAACGAGAAACTGGAAGGTCTGAGGCATCGTCTAGCGGGACGCGATTGAATTTCGTCGCGCGTCTCCGTCGAGCCGCCGCAGAAAATTCAATTTACCCGTGTAAACGACTCGACTTCCAATTTCCAAGACACGCGAAAACTTTTTTATGACGCGATTCGTAGAAAATATCTATACATATGTATCACGACGGTCCAATGTTTGTCTTTTATCGAGGATTTTCTATGCTCGAGTCAACGGTAATTTGTATTTTTAACTCGAGGGTGGAATAAGAGAAGCTGGTAACAGTGAGTCACCTGCGATCTTATCGCTCCCCTGTTTTGTTCCAGTACGACGACAAGAGGGTGCGATTCGTACGTAAGGGGTTAATATTAAAGGTGCTAGATGCTTAAATCTCCGAACATTCTTTGGTTGCGCGTCGGTAATAGTGGGAATTTTCGATTATTAAGAGTTCGCACTTAATATTCGGTTAATTTGATCGATAAAGAGGATGTTCCGAGGATACCTGCAAGGAGCTCCCTTTCCGGCGACGATTCTCTGGAGTTACTGTCCTCATGGTGGGAGGAACTGCTCGCCCTGCTGATGTCAATTCTCGGCGTGCTGGGTGTCTTAAGCGAACTACCAGGCGTTGCTGGCGTAGTCACCTCAACGATGCCTGGCATTCGCGTAGCCGGTTCCCCCTGCATTCAAATTTGTAAGGCTGGTTTTGTCGTCGAGTCACAGTGTCACTGTGGGGTGTGGTGATGGTGGTTGGTGATGGTGGTGGACACAGGTGTCTGGCTCTGTTCCGTTCACGGGACAACGGAGCTTCGACTTTCGAACGGGGAACACGACGCAGGTGAAGCGCGGTCGACGAGATCCTCGACGACAGACAACGACTACGACTCGAGCGGATCTCGCTCGGAACAGCCGATTTGGAGAGGAGTCAGGGAGGAGACAGGGAAGGACTCACGTTTTCCACCTCGTCGGACAGGTCTTCGAAGGATGCTATCGGCGCTGGTCCAAGCTTCCTCTGATGAACGCTCGGTACCCCTGACGCCATATTTATTCCGATAGTTTAGCCCTCGATGATGCTGCAAAATACCCATATCGTTTTAACTCTACTCTCAGATTTGTCCCGTTCTAATAAAGCTACCTAATTAGTTGCGGAAATATTCGTGTTTCCTTTCAAACGAGCAAGATTGAACCTCTGCGTTGATTAACTTGCGATAATAAAAATGCGATCGAACATCGGTGGTTTCGTTAGCCGAAGAAGCTAATTAAAGTCCGCGTTAGAACATTTGAGCGAAGGATGAATCGATTAGCTCGCGCGGTAATGTGCAGGATGTGCCGACATTGAGGGCCACTTGTCGTACATCACCGGTGCTCGAGCACCGCAGCTTCAATTTTCTATCGAATCGTTTCGAAATATTCTTCTCGCCTGACCCTGTTATCTCCTTTTGAACGACGAAAATGTGCTCGCATCGTTTATAAAAAATTATGCGAATTTCGTTGAAATGATCGGAACAACCGCATTTCCATAACAATTTAGAATAATATTGGTATAATCGCATTTCGTAATGTACTAGTACCACTACAGCTACAGTAATATACAGTACAAGTAGTTAGTACATGTAGTAGAGTTTGATACCTAGTGGAGTTATCGTTTTTAACTTTTAATTCGTTTCGCTAGACTCGTTCCTTCGGTGACTTGAACGTTTTTAACGCGCTTTCAAATTTCACCACCGGTCCCATGCGGAGTTTAAGAAATAAACAAGTTAAAAATATTTCAGGAAGTTTGCGAATACGTTTAAGAGGTCGAAAACGAATAGATCCTCCCCCCTCTGGTTGCTACGTAATTTCTTTCCGTTCTTCTCTTTCGAACGAAACGCGATCGCTGTTTTTGCACAAGTATTAACTACGAGTTAATTGAACTGGTAATCAGGGCTGATCAATAAAATCGACGTAGGTAAGAAATGGAAGGAATTTTTAAAATGGTGCTCCGTTTCGAGCACTCTCTTCCTGAACCAAGAGAAAAGAAACTGTAGAGGTGAGAAAGGTCATTGATACCTTGAGCCAATTAGCAATGAAGTCTCGTCGGGCTTAGACCGTTAAATGCACGCTATTCGACCGTCGATTCTTCTTCGTTTTCTTGATACAACCTCCAGATTACGTTGTAAGGATAACCCGGCCTAATACCTAACCAATGAAAATTAATAGGGCATTTCGGTGGCCGGTAAATCGATTGTCTGGTTGTCTGGAGTATAAGTGCCGTTCGTGACTTTGGTACGAAACGTGAGATAGAAGAATAAGAACGTTAACTCGTCAACTAATGAACGCTAATGTTATCGATTAGAATTTTTCTTCCCGTAAAAGGACAACCGAAATCTCTTGGAAATCGTCCGATGATTTAGGTGATTTAGTCTAACCCACGACTTATAACACCCTAAACGCCTTCCACGACCGAGGGGCATCCTGTGAACCTCTCGAACGCAATTTCGTGCTCCGTTTCACTTTCGGGAACGTGTACGGTGTACATCGACAACGACCGCGACAAAATCGTGTGAGGTAGACGTTCAAAAATGAAGAGCAGAGCCGGTGTTTGTCGAGGCTGTTTTTTCGACCGACAAGTTCAAAGAGATTACCTCATGGTCTGCGGCGCGCGTTTTCAGTTACATCTGTCTGGACACGTTAAAACGGTATTTTGTGTTGCATCTACCTTCTTTGTTTTTATCTTCGAAATTCCACGTTATTTTTTAATAAAAATCTCTGATGTTTGCAGCATCCCCGTGGAATATGGATCTCTTCGCCGTATTTACATTACGGTACAGTTTCATTTTTTTACAATAATCGATATTTCCGAAATATCCTGTATACGTCTTGAAAGGGTGAACGACTGAACGTCAAAGCCTGGAAACCAAGCACATTGGTTAACGCGTGGGAGTGGCTACGAAGGCATGGAATAGTGCCAATAACTGAAAAGTGTCTATTCCCGAAGGAAAATCGGGCTTCCTAAAATAAATAATTTATCGAAGTACAAATATTTTGCTTTACAAAACAGTTTCGAATACGAAAGAACTTCTGGGCTATAGAGTTTTCGTGTCGACACCGACAAAAAAAAAGAAAAGAAAAGAAAAGAAAAGAAAAGAAAAGAAAAGGAAAGAAAAAAAAACAAGAACAATAACAAACTGAAGCGTAGCGACGAACGACGAGCTCCAGATGTAAAGGTAGTACGATGGAGAAAATCGGAAAACAGCCGAGGCTTCTCGAAGCTGTTACACGGCAACGACGCCGCTATAAATAGAAAAAACCTTGTTAGCGGTTACACGATGTTCACGTATGCACATACATGCGGATAGACACACCAGACACACATAATTTCCTTCTTTTTTTAAACGAGAAAGGTGCCGATAGTCGGCCACCGATAGCCGATAATCGTTCCGTCGGCCAAATGAATAATGAAACGGCACGAACCTCGTGGTTTCAACGATTTATACGCCCCTTAACTTCCTCACATTTGACCCCTCTACCGCTCTATGATCTTGTTTTCATTCTATTTTCAATCGATTGCCTCTGCTTGCTGCACTGATTTTCTTTTTCTAGTATTTCAAGTTTTTCCAAGCAAAAGCAATAACACGGTATGCAGTTTCGTTACCGGTTATGTACGATCTCGATTTTAAGCTAATTCTACGTTAACTTATACAACTTGTACAGCCATTTTAAACGTTAGAATTGTTCGATGAAAAAATTCACGAGGCCGAATTGCGAAATTTCAAAAACATTCCAATTACGCCTTATTACCACATTAACGCTAACTAGTATTAATACTAATCGTAGTAATGTGCTGACAACAGTGTCATTGCACGATAATTTAATTACTATATCAGCGCGAGTACTAGCCGCTAGTTGGATAATAGTAGTGAAAGTAAGTAAAGAGACACCCCATGGGCAGTACTTGTTCCGTGAGGCACAGTACTCGTTGATTATTGCGTGCATACTTGAAGCAATTTACGGTTGACGAGCGGCAAGGCAAGCGCCTCGTTACTTATGATTCAACACGGTCATCTTTATACGCCGGGTAATTGATCCTTAATTGCGGAACGATATCAGGAGCGACACGAGAGCACGGAATAAATATTCGAACAGCGAGCTGCTTAGATTTTCTTATTATAATTACGACGAATCGAAGGAAGAGTGGTCGATACGAATACGCCTCGTTGCGTGCAGCTGCAGCTTAACATTATCGTTGCCAGCCGTTTCACCGTTTTATCGCTTCATAGAGAAACCTTAGACATCCTTTTGCACGATCCTTGCTACCTTCTTTCACGGACATTGAAAAAGAACTTGTTATATCGGTCTAGATTAAGATTTCCTGCTAATATCAACACTACTAATATATTAACGCTAACTACATCGTTATTCGCTTACGATAGCACCAAATTACTATGTAAAATGTATAGAGTATATCCTTCGAGTGTTAGAGTTATCTCGTAAGCGGGGCTGTTTTCGATCATGTTGATACATTTTATGTTTCATTGTATTAGAACGCGGAGTTGAAACGGTCGCGCAGCAAACCCGAGCTTTTCGTTTATTTATAAACGTCCTCCTCGTTCGACGGCTTTCAAAATTCCATTACCATCTGGATATTTTTCTGTGGACGCCAGCGAATCGATTTTATCACTGCACGCTTACAAAACGTCTCGATCTCATTGGCGTATCCTTAGCGATTCTTTCGTGCATACAAAGATCACGTGGATCACGATTCCTCCAACGAGCGTAATAGAAATTTTGCAAAACAGGTCAAGAAATGAATTAGCAACCGATCGATAACCAACGTTCGAGTAAGTGTACGAGCGATAATAAAATCTTGGATCGATCCAGTGATACGATCAACTCCCCTGAACGCGTTACGAATAAATACCCATTACGAATTGATCACGGAGGATGGAAATTGCTTAAATGGATGATATATCAAGTTCAAAAGTTGCCAGATTTCTATATATCCGTAGATTCTCAAATCGGTATATCGCTAAACCCCGCGCGATTCCTATCAATAAATATATCAATAAATCACCAAATCGCCAAATTAGATACGTACTGTACCGATGGTGTATACGGCAAGATAATATGTATATTGCTATTACTTCGATACGTAATATTAATAGTACAGTAGACATTAGTAAATTATATCGATTTATAATAGATACAGTAAGTATAGTACAGGTATACATGTATACATTTACACGATAAATACAGGTATACTAGCATAGCTATACTGTACCATATTTTGAAAAAATATTTCTACTATAAATGTACTGCTAATGGCTAAACAACAATTAGTATCGAAATAATTATTTTTCAACCGATGAAAGCGAACGAAAGCGAACGAAAGCGAACGAAAGCGAACGAAAGCGATGGCATTCGTCGAAACGAGAGGGCCGCTTTAAGTTTCTCCTTAACCCATTGACGCACTTCGACGCTCCACTACTCGATACCCTGTAAAACTCCCATCGACCATTCGCGTCTTCACGCGCTTTCAGGACACACGCGTCGAGCACGTTCGTTTCGCGTCTTCGTGAACGGTGAACGGTGAACGACTTTAGGGGATGTGAAGTAAGCGTACTTGGCTAAAAGGAGAAGGGGACACGCTTCTGAAACGTGCGACAAAAACGAGACCGAACGACGACGATCGCGACGCTTTCTTCTCGTAGAACGCGTTAATTTACACTTCGAAGATGTCATCGAAGATCACTGAAATTTCATTCGAAGACGATAGATGAGATCCGAAAGAATACCAAAGAAATACGTTCAACGCCGTTCGTTGAAGGAAAGGTCGATAATTCTTTCCTAACGATCAACTATATCTAATATTGTACGTTTCTTCTATCGTCTCAGGAGTTTCATCCTACAGTCATAGTCGAAGCAAGCATCTCCTATATACATATGTACGTGTAGTATCTTCGTTCCTGCCGAGCCATATTTCTATCCAATTTCCCTACATCCTATACCTATCTGAATAGCTATCTGCTGCTCGTTTAAAAAGTACCTTTCCACTAGCGTTATTCGCGTTTAAACTCGAAGATGAAATATCCTCGTACGCTCGATCGAGTCTGTCGAACAGTAGATGCGCAGTGAAGACTTATGGGGTGTCAACCGTAGAAACAGATATGTGGAGCAGTTAACGTATAAGGAAAACGAGCACCCTGGTGTCTCACTTACCCCACTGTCGTGTCCTCCATGCCAACTATCGGGAAGCAATCGATCCCTGGTTCCCGCTACTCCATCCTCCCGGATCGTTCGTTTGATCGAGTCGTCTCTCCGGTTCTTCTTCTACTACTGATCTTCCTCTTTTTCCTTCTCCTTCTCTTCCTGTTCCTATTCCTCGTGCGCGTTCTCTTGGCCTGGGCCAACGGCTACCGTCACTTCTCTGCCCACACCTTACATCTTGACGGTCCGTGCCAGCTGTGTTCCGCGGGAGACACGCTCTCTCGGCCCTCTGCAGCGACACACGACGATCCACGTCCTACTCATGCTCGCATACTCTCTCCAGCGCGCACTCGCTGCCCTTACCTACTACCCACTGTGTGCCAGGGGTGCCGCCTCTTCGTGCTGGGCCATCGACCACCTCCTATAACCGCCAGTTTTGAAATTTCATCACCGATTCTGGTTACTCGGATTCAGCCAGCGACAGAAAACCTGAAAAATTATTACACTTTTAGATGCGTTCTTACGCGTTCTATGCAAATCGAAGAAATAATACTGTATACTCGGGAGTAACGTAAATTTTCAAATCTTCTCCAAGACAAGTTACGACTGTACGGTCGAGTGTAAAATACAAGCTTGCTTTTAATTCTCGATGATAATCAAGTTCTTCTTTCCTACTACCTAGTTTGTATAACCGGTAGTGCACGCCTAAGGGAAATTTTCTGGAAAAGCATTTTTAAATAATTATTTCGAAAGAATTATATCGGTGAATGATCACTGAATGATGAAAAAATCAGTCACCTTTTGTTATGCATGAAAAATTCAAGTTTCGGAGACACAGGGCCTGTGAATCGACATAGTCTTCTCTGTAGATTTAGCGCATAGTAGGGGTGCACGCTCCCCCAGGGTAGGATTAGTCACGATTCTACTCGGTCGTAAAGTTTCAAAGGTAAAAGGAAAAAAGGTGGAACCTCGTAACGAGCTGTCACCTCGTGCCGCTCTATTATTCCGTATCGGGCAGTGCACCACGTAATAGAGCAGAATTTCGCGTCGACGTTAATTGTTTACTCGTCTGCGGGTGTGAACACGAGGGCATCTCGAATCGATCTTAACGAGAAACGGGGTTGATCGGAAATTGATATAAAAGAAAACCGAGATCGAAGAACGGTTCTACTTTTTTTCGCAGATAAAGTTTTATCAACTTCCAACATTGACTTTACTTAGAAATTAAATAAATTTTTAAAATTAAACATTAAACATTCGTAGACTTTTAATACCTAATCCTTTTGCAAGTGTGCTACTAAGAATTGCATAAATATTATTTCGTTTAAATTCATTTTGCACGTAGATGAATCTGGATAAATTCGTGGCAATTCTGAAAACAACTATACAGGCTGTTCTAACATATTGAAGCGTCCAAGTTTTTATTACGTAGCAAAATCACGCCACCATAAGCAGGGCTGCCTCTTATCCCCTGCTCCGGTAGTATCGAGCGATCAAAATATCTTTGACTAATAGATACGTGAATAGAACGATCAACGAAGGTGTTTCTTTACGTTTCATTCAAGTTAGAGTTAGTGTACGTCGCCGTCCAATCAGCACAACGTTTCCTTTGGGGTCATTCAGGCGCCAAGCGTCTCATCGATCAATGCTCCGCGCAAGGGTCAAAAGAGATACACCCTATGCAACCAATAACATGCAAGAGCCAAGTTCGTAAACATCTTCTCGAGCATTGTTTTTTTTCTACCTCTTTTCTGAAAAAAGAAAAACAAGTCAAATTGATTCTTTAAACTCGTCAAGTATCGCTTCTCGATAATTAAAAAGAAATATATTATAGACAAAAAGATACCGTCTTCCTATGTGTAACATAGGTAAATTTTCATTTTCGTAACGAGAAATTTCACGCAAAAGTCTCATATAAAGATTTTATTTCGTTAGTACGTACACATTTGCGCCAGCACAAAAAAGGATCATATCATATAAAACGAGAACAATGCAGGATTCCTTTTCCGAGACTAGACACATACGAATCGTAGAATCTCAGGGTTGATACGTTTTTAACCACTGGTCCAATTGAAACCATCGATCACCCTGAATTCCAATGTTTAAGAATGTTCGCGATACGAGATTTCATCTCTGAAATTATACATCGATCGACTCTTCTCGTCAATGATCAACTTTCTTTATCTTTCTTTCGATGAACATGTTGTATCCTTCGCACCGGAGTATATTTACCTCGTTTCGCATATTTTTAGACGGTTTCTTCTTTAAATTTTTAACAACGAGTTGTTCTTCTACCTCTCGGATACACGCAAAGGTGTAATAGATTTGACGTATATAAAAAAGCTGCCAATTCAGCGCGCTGAATCGGATATGCCAACGCCAGAGATGACATTCACAAACCGGTCAACAGTGAAGAGTCGACGAAGATGCTTCGAAGTACGCGTTTACACGGTATTTACAGGGCAGTGTTAGAGGTATCCGAGTTACGCTATTAAAAGGCAGGCACTAAGTGACTCTTCAAGGTTCCATCCTTGCAAGCGATTAAACTGAAACGTACATCTTCGTGTCTTCCTTTTTAAACTCTTACACTGTTAATAACTTAAATTTGATGTATCAGCGAACGCATACCGAGTCATCTACGTTTATTTTTCAGTTTAGAAATGCATCGTCGAATTATCAAATGTTCGTATCGTCATTTGTACGAGTGCAATATCTTCTTGCGCTTTAGCTATGTATAAGCAGTAGCCGTCAGACTTCGGGAAATAAATGATCTTTCTGTATATTTTACAAACGTAAAAGAAGAAAAAGAAAGAAAAGAAAAGAAGAAATGAATGCAATGAAAGACATGTTATAAGTTACGCATTAAAAATGTAGAATATGGCGATACATACTTAATGCATTGTTATCGTGTACTGACAACTTCCAAAGTTAAGTACACATCGAAATCCTAGTGTAACTTTCTTTCCATAATTCAGAAGTAATTTCTTCGTTCCTCTACCATCTATTTAAACGTACGTAATCTCGAATTAATTAAGCTGCTACGGCATAAAGCAAGTGTTTACTTCTTCTCGAAAAAAAGTCGTTAGTGGAAACGGAACAAAGCTATATCGATTTTTCCACGTTATCTTATACACAGACGGCTGCAATCTATAAAAATAGTTCATTCTATTCGACAATTTTTTTTTCACGTTGCATTGTCCTGCGATCGCGTGGTCGTGCCACGTTTAGAAATTGAGTCTCTTCTTAGCCAAAATTGTTGTCACCGCTACGCGAAACGTAGTTGATAAAGTTCGATTGTACGTCTTGCTGCAATATGTATGTATATCTCTTTAGACACGGTAAATTCGTATGTATGATCGAACTGTATCGCTTTGTCCTTAAAAAAAATTGTCACCTTTACTAAATATCGGCGCATTTGCGACAGTAAGATCTACGTGATTTTTAATGTTTCATAACCGATCGAATGGACCATCGAGTCACTAGATTTTCTCTTCTGTACAGTGGTCAACATACGTTAACTTGCATCTTTCGAAGCAACAGACAATGCACACTAATTGAAAACAATTTGTAAATCGAGTACTACTTAACTAAGTACTTTATACAATTTTTTGTTTACTCTCCCCATCGATTTCACTGAAAACTACGCTAACAATTAATGCGAAGCTACGAAGAGTCTCTAAAGTTTGCAAACGCGTATTAATTGAAATTTCTCGTAAAAACATGACGAATAGCATATATGCGTTATCCTGCGAGTATTCAAAGTTTCATTTGCCTCCATCGAACCTGCCTAGGTCAAATTTCAATTTACACACGTTCATTCTGCATAAATATCCCAATTCGTCTCTCTTCGTACACTCATTCGTCATTCGCAACGTTTCTTCCACCGGCTCTTAGTGTATACATGTTACGCTCCTTGACCCTGAAGAATCGATAAATACAATTTCTAGAACAATTATTCGGTGTATGTATTATGTGGTCGATCTACGATCGAAGCAAACTCGTGTTGCGAACCGTAGATCCGTTAATGGAGATCAGATCCCAACAACCGTCAGGTATGTTTCATGTCGTCCGACGATTCGCTAGTAAATCTTCTTCAGGAACGAATGGAAGACGTAGTCGAAGATGTTGAGACGAAACGATTTAATTTGCTGTCGATTATAATCTCGTCACCGTTTCGAATATTGTATCGGTACAGCTGTTTATTCGGATACAACATTTCTTCCGGTCCGTACTGCGCCTTCATAACCTATAAATGTAACTAAATTAATACGAAGCTCGTTAAAAAAGGTTTAATTTTATGGAAGAGCGTAGCTTCGAGTATGTACAGTATCGAGTCAGAGTTTTACCTCTAAATTTTGCATAGCTCAATGAATTGAAAATTTGTAGGAACGTCGGGAAAAGAAGTGGAAATTCTACATGGTAATACCATGCTTTTTACGGGGATTTTCGAGGAGCCACACATTCTGCAAAGCACAGAATAATTTTTTAATAAAATTAATTGACCTGAAACCGACCTGATCCACGTAGAAGAGTCTCATCCTATTGGCAGGAATTTTAACCATTGTCTCCAGTTTAGTTTTCAATTCGAAAACCGTTCTGTACACATCTACAGATCGTACCTGCAACAAACGATCGTTATATCGTTAAATATCGAGAAAAGTGAAGAACGATTATGCTTTGCCTTATCCGATACACTAGCCGTGTCTCTCAAGTGCGTTAAATCCCTTTTTTAATTAGCAATAAGTCCGTTTATCCGATCGTGAAATTTAATTACAAAGTCAATTATCTTGTTAATTTACCTCGACTAGGTCTCCGTAAGTGAACGTGACCTTGACCCTTTTCTCTGGCGTCAGGTCAACGTGTACCAGAGGATCCAGCTTTCCATGAATAGCTACAAGCTCGGAATACCTGAAAATCAAGGAACAGGGTTAGCTCCCGGGATATACATATATTACCAGCGACATCTGTGATCGTGACGCTCTTAGAATAACTTTATGGATTCTAGTTCGATCGAAAATAGAAACGACAGCGGCGAAGAGTAGGAAACAGGTGTAAATCGTGTGACACACTTACGAGTGTAATTAACATTTGAATGCAAACGGAATAGCGATCATAGAGCAGAGGGATATCGAGTAAGGAATTGGGATAAAAATGGAGAAGCAGGAAACAAAGAGGCGCGATTAACCTGTCAACAGCGTACGGAGTTAACTCCTCGTGGAAATGTTGACCTTTTTAAAATACAAAATGAACGGTGTTAAATAGAATTGCAGAAAACATGAAAGTTTTTGTGTACCCTTTGTTTCTTAGATCCTAGTTTCCTCTATTACTTTATTGTACCGAGCAATCCAACGAATAGAGTTATCGAATGATCCGAATAAATTAATAGAAATTAGTAGAATGGTATTATTTTAAATTAAAGGGGATTTTTCCTTGATTCGAGAAACGCATCACCTTTCGGGTCTGTCAGCTTCCGGTTTATCCATGTAGTATCGAATGAAGGCCCTCTCGGCGTCCTCGCGCTCTTGTGACGATATCACTCCACCGCCGTTTAAAGTCTCCACATTTGGAAGCCTGGCAATCAACAATTGCCTCCTTTCGTGTTCCGTGTACTCTCGAGGACTCTATAAAGAAACACGAAAACAAGATTTTTCTCGCTGTTCAGCACCGGTACAAACCGAACAGACGTATATTTTCAAAGAATATATTCACCTCGAAAAGAGGACAACCCTGAATCCTCAACGATTTCAACGCCGGAAATCTGGCCAATCTTTCCACGTCGTCCCAGGTGGACAACAGGGTACCATTCACGTTTAGAAACCTGAGTTTCCTAAAGGGATCGTGGGAGGATTTAATAGTCGTCCCACTGGACTCCGATTCTGATTCGGACCTGTCGTAGTTGACCTTCACCTCGGTGAATATCCTGTTCCCTTTTTCGTCCACCGTATTCTCTTCAACTTCCACGTTGTTCATGTTCTCGTTGTCCTGACTAACATTCTTGGTCTCCTTTTTGGGACACGTCTCCTCGTTCGAATTCCTATTATCCACTAGGGCCAATGACCTTAAGGGGCACTCTGCGAGCACCAGGCTCTCCAGATTCGGGAAGATGTACCCCAGTTTGGAGATCTCGTTCCATACCTCGACAGGATTTCCGGTAAAATGGAGTTTCCTCAGCGAATCGTTCCCATTCTCCGGTTTCTGATACTCCAGATCGACCGTCTTGTACTCGTTGAGGGAGAGATGCAGCTCCTCCAGATTATGGAGCAACCGAATAAGTCCCTGAACCGTCGACCAGGAGACCCTGGTGCCGTTTAACACAAGGTTCTTCAGGAGGTCGTAACTACCGTGTTTGATATCTAAAACTTCCGCTAAACAATTGAAGCTCAAGTTGACGAATTTGATCTTGGGCATATGCTGCAGGATGCCGAACACTTCCGTCCATTGGGACAGTTTGTTCTGTGCCAGATCCAACTCCTCGACGTTCTTGCATTTGTTGCGAAGTTTTTCCGCGTCGTTGCCGGCTGATTCGATATCGCAGTCTTGCAACACCAGCAACGCTGGCACCGTGTGACGGGGTGACTTCTTCGGGATGAAGATGCTGACCGAGAGGGCGGCCTTCGGAGAACTCGATTCGGTCTCCTCGTCCGTGAGGGAGCAGTCAGTCGTTGAACTACCGTATTTCAGCTCCAGAGCTTCCAACAACGACGGCATGTTTACTGCATTCTGAAAGTAACCATACGCCAATTTTATACTCTCTATAGTATATAATCATACAGTTTATACTTTTATGTATATTATGTATATTACGACCTACGATGATATATAACATTCTTTATGCCAACTCTATAAAAAATATTTACTGATTATATCCCAAATATTAAGATTACAGATCACTAGAAGAAATTAAACGAACCACCATAACTTTGAACGTGATGTAAGCGGATGGCAAACTATAACTTCTTCTGGATCTTACAATAATGACAACAATAGTGATGTTGGTAGGAATATCGACTCGTAGCCTAAAAGACAATACCATCGAGAAAATGTTTGAAGCATCAACGGCTAACAAAGATTCGACAAGAAACAAAGAGGAGACATAACACAAGGTGGCTTTTGTCGCCGGCAAAGAGAACACAACGAGAAGGAAGAAAGAGGCAACAGAAGCAAAGAAGAAACACGCGGATCGTAGATGCTCGAGGACAACGTCGAACACGCGGAATATCTGGTCTGACCATATCCGTTAAGGTCGCGGTATTGTTTTTTCTTTCCTTTTTTCTTTTGCGCCACGAAAAACCGGTACCGGTTCCCTCGACGTTGGAAAACCATACTACAGTCGAACGAGCTTCACCCACGCGATTCTCCCTTGTTCCTTTGTGTCTCGTTTCATCCGTTTTACGGTGGACAAGGATCGTTTCCAAGTACACTTTCTATGGTACTTCTTGAATCAATCTCATGCATAACGTACATCGTAGAAAGATGATTCGAACAATTTGCTACAGCGTCTGATTCGCAGCGCGTATCGAGTAATTTACCAAATACGCTTACAAAAGGAACGAGATCGTACATATTAATTTTCTCACGGTCGTCCGTTGAGTACACTAAGCAACAACTTTGAATTTCTCAAATTTCTTCATTTCTAATTTACTAAATTCCCAAATATCCAACTCCCTAGAGTTCTGTATTCGGAGATCACCGAATCTTTGCGTTTTTAAGTTTCAAAATCATCAAACATCTAACATGTTAAAACCCTAGATGCATAAATAGCCGTTCTGTGTGTTCGATAAAATCGTTTTACAAGTATAGTTAGCGCATAAATCGATTCGAACGTTAGACTTTCACCGCGCGTTAAAGGTTAAAAATACAGTGTTTGGCGAAAGATGTAGAGGAGACGATTTCCATGATGATCCGAGTCAGTTGATTTTATGTAAGTTATCTGTATCGGAAGAGGAGTCGACGGAAAACTAAACGCGACAATAAAAATTCGGAATCAGACGAATGGAAAAATCGTTGGAGCCGAAGGCGCAGCGGTGCAACGAACCAAAGCGAGGACGATTACGGATTATCGTTTGAACAACGCGGACGAAGAGTGAATCGTTGCGTGATTTTGGCGGTGATCCGACGTGCCAGTGACCAAAGAAAAACGCGTACACGATTCTTGGACGTCCGCCAACCACTGTCCTTTCCACTTAACGCGAAACCGTGGTTCGTTCTACGGCCAGCGCTAGCAATCTCTCGCTTTCTAACGGTAATTTTATAACGTTACTAGATATAAAATACACGGTGTACGTTGTACGAAGGAAAAATCGAGCAGAGTGTCGTTTGATTGGAGGGACGTAACCGTTTCGTCTCCGGTGGAATATCGCGATAAACGAGAGAAGAGGAACGAAGTGTAGTCGAGCGATCGACGCTTGGCAGTGGACCCCGGCATAATAGTCGTTGCTGGCTTCCCCTACACGTAATCACGATATCGGTTCAACGGCCATGCGAAATTAACTTTCTCCGGGTACGGGTCTGCCTACGAGAAGCCCGTTAGAAACAGCCCGTTGCGTGGCGTTGCTGTTACATACTAGAAGCCTAGCGACGTTACTCCAGTCGATTCAATCTGGTTTCGATCCTGGATGCTCAGTTAACCGGTTTGCTATCGACCATTTCATTAACCTCTTGCGGTTCACGCGTCTCTTCTAGCCACATATTCAATTATCCCGGTGCAAAATACCTGTGAAATTGACAAGTTTACCGATACAGGCTGTTTCTAGCAACGACCACCATAAATTCGTACACGGTTCCGATTGAAATTTCTCGGAGCATTTGTTTTTGGCCAAACACTTCGGGTAATTAAAAAGTTACGAAACCTTGAAGAACGACGTAGCGAACGTGATAAATGTTGAAGTGTTCGAACGATTCTAGAACCGAACCGTGGTGCTGAAGCATTTCGAAGAGAAATTTTCAACGGCCATCCTGTTACAGCAGCTCGATGCGATTAGTCAATGTATTTTGAGCGACTTTGAGAATAGAAGGTCCTCGGGGATGATTCCTTTTCGATGGAAGAGAGGAAAGATGGGTGTCAGGTACAATAGATTTGTCCGCTTGAAATCTGAAATAACATTTACTCGTTAGAAAAATATGTTTTTCGGATTGGCAGTAAGTATGCAAAAGAATTCTAACGAAATTATACAATGCATACGGTTGCGTCACGAGATCGCAGCGTTTGTTAACTGTTCTAACATCGGACGGAGTAACAATGCTAAACACGAACACGCTACTTTCTCTTCGGCTGATGATTTTACGCGGCAACTATTCGTAAAACCGAGCGTACAAATCGAATCGACGATTCCAGATCAAACCGGTTCATCGCGGAAATAATGAACGAAGAGAAACAGAACGGCAGTTTCCAACGAAAACAACTTTAAACAATCGAGACCGGTCGAAATTTCCAAATTTTCACTTTCCTACGTTTCGACGGTTGAACATTTTTAAATTTCTGTAGGTCTCCACCAATAGCAATTAAGAAAGTAAGTACAACAAGTGGTTGTAACTATCCATCGACTTCCGGTGTCGTAGCGTTGTCCGTGCGTGCGCAACAACGCATGTAGCTAAATATACGCTATCACAGACGGTTACGAAATGTCAAATAGAAGTTGTTGGCTACTAGGTCAATCGGAAAGCCGAGAAAAATAGGTTTTCGTTAACGTTATCGAGTTGATCGAGTTTTCGATATCGCGATATCGCGATATCGCAACCTGTTTCCTTATCGACTTTACGAAATAATACTAACTTTACGAAATGACGACATAAACCAAACTGCAAGAGAAAACGACGGTGGCTTATCAGATTTTCGATTGTTCGATCAGATCGTGATATTGCATTACCTCTGCGTTGGCTGAAGGACTTGGAAAGTTATTGCGAGATATGAAGCAGAAAACGTCGGCGTCTCTCGACATTAATTTTCTGCTATAATTTTCCCGTAATTATTTTCATTCGAGTAGCGGTGGCGAGCAAAAAGTGATAAACGATACTTTCTAACCCCTCTAATCTAATACGAAATAAAGTAACGCGGATCTGTTGGTAAGTTCGAAGGTACATATAAGCGGAACGAAGATTTCCGCTTGGCACGAGATACTATCGGAGTAATCGATGATCTATTCTTTCCCCGTTAACCAACATAGTTGACAGAAGGAAATATCGACGAAAGTCCGCCGCGGCGGCTGCATGCTGCGCAAATGCTCTCCCGTCTCGGATTATTACTCGCTTGTCCAAGGTTGCCGTTCGTGCTGCTCGCGACCCGAGAGCATTATGCACTCGTGTATGTCACGTACTTATACGGATACATGTCTGCAGCGTGATACGGTGTGTTGCACTTACGATACGCGCACAGATCTATCTAACGTACAACCACGTAATAAACGCGGGGGAATACGTCTCAGCGTTTCCCAACCTTTTTCTTTATTTAATCGATCAATTACGCGTAACACGTGCACGTGTTTTCTTTTTTTTCCCCCTTTTTTTTCCTTTTTTTCAACGACTAATCAATTGTTCCCACCGAATACAATTGCGTCGTAACTATCCAACGAATCAAGGTTATTCGAAACTTCGAGATTACCGTTAAATTTCGCTTTTACTTTTAACTCAGCTTCTAGCTAGCCTACGGTAAACTCTCGTTAGGTTACAAATTGCATGACCAAGCAACAGAATTTCATTGCTTGATTCGATTTCGAATCGTTGAGCGCGAGACAAGTTCGAAAATACGAATGCCAGTATACATATGCATGTACATAGTTCTGATCAACTATAAAAGCGTGGAGGACGAGAAATTGGGAAACGCTGCGCACCTAGCGTACGCGCTCTTTGTTCGTTTCTCGGCTTTTGAGAGCGTGTCTCGCATCGATACACGGCAATTACATCCACGTGTGTGGAACCCGACAAGAGATACGCGTACGTATACCACTGAACAACGTTCGCTACACAAAAGTACGAGTCTTGTCGGTACCAGGCCTCTCCCTTCTGATCCGACGACGCTTCACCGACGATGCTTCTCTATCGCACCGCTAATATTACGCGTTGCATTCTACCTCGGTCACTCTCGTTAGCCTTAACGATATCTTAACAATATTATAGGTGTATCGATAACGTGTGGATAATCGATAGCAGCGCCGTTAGTTTGAACACGCGGCATGTTTTCTTATCATTTATTTATACGGATATTTTTGGCATCGAGACACGCCAACTGTTAACCGTAAACGTTAGAGAAGCGTTATTCTCAACGTCCAATCGCCTGTTCTTTATATAATCCGTCGACTTCCGCAAACGTTCCTTGTAAAATCGTTCACGAGCTGATAGAACGGCACTGAACAATTGATCTTGTCAGAGAAACTTTTTACTTTTCCTTCGCTGTAAGAATTAATGAAACGCATTATGCATTCGAGTGACCTTGATAACGGCGGCGCAATACCAATCGGATTTGTCTAGTCAGTTTTACATCACGTAGTTGATATACTTGGACGAAAAGAAGAAATAAAAAGTAACATTCCAGGAAGATTAAAGGCTGAAACGCCATTCGAAACTGCATCAATTTTGCGCTTCTTTATGTTCGAACAGACGCGTTAAAAGTACTGTACTTTCAATTCTTACTGGCCTTGAAGTTAGTAGACAAGGATCGACGCAATTCTCACGATTCGTGACTCTTTGTTCCAGCTTCTTTTACGCTCTATTATCATCCACTTCGAACGCTACGAGCAATACTCTCTGAAAACTATTGTAGATGTTCGGTTTAACCAGTATCTGATATTATACGCCTCTGTGTCTCTATCGAGAAACATGAATTCGTGTGCAACGCTCGAGGTGCGCGTTTAACCTATAAGCGATTCCGCCGTTTCTACTGTCGATAAATTAGACATCCCTTTAACGTATCATACAGAAAAGTTTAATAAATGTCAAGTTGCAAGTATAAAATAAGAATAACGATTACACGGAGAAGGAACGATTCGCAGAAAAGACATCCAGCTGTCAAAGTCCGCTGTTTAGAAGCGTAAATTCTGCGCGCACAGCTGACAGCGATTATGTAAGGCTCGAACGCATAACGCGTCGAAAAATACGTGTAGTATAAACGACGCAACGCGCTTCGACGCCAACGAGCTCTAAAAGTAGGAAAATTTTCAAGATAATTCGAAAAAGGAGTACATCGTGTTAACGTCTTTCGAGATTGCGTCGTGACTCTGATAGATCAGGTTGCTCGGAAGACCACAAACATTTCGTCCGATAATTTAATATTGCCTCCTCTAACGACCGTTCGGTGAAAATTTTTCTGTCGAAGGCAAAGAAAAACGTTCGTTGTACGTTGTAAAGTCGGGTTGGATCGATTAAGCCACAAGTTCGAAAAGATTGAACGAGAACAGTATCAAGACGCGGTACAAGAATATCGCCAAGGAATCGGGTCAAGGATTGTCTTAGCGTCTGGAAAACGCGTATATTTAAAACTAGATGTTACGGGTACTCACTGTTTCATCCGTTTTATTTCGCGCTCGTCCTCGTTTCTCTGACAATTGTAGGCTGGTCGACGATCGCGACGATGTTACGAGAATTATCCTGGTTCCAGTTGCACTCGCGATTTTTACCTACGATCACGAAGAGAGATCGGTTTTTTATTGGTCGATGGAAGAGGTTAGATAAAAAGCGGTGTCGCGTACGGACACAGAAACGTGCCGTTCGCTGTCCACCGATGAACTGATTTCTGGCTCCTTTGTTTAGTAAACAGAAACAGCTGAGCCGCGCTGCTGGTTATGGTTGTAGAGGTGGCGGGAGCTGGGACCACTCCACTCTTTCCGCACAACACCGACTTTACGGCGCAAGCACGTTTCTTCATAAAATGATCACGTGGCCTTATGCATTCAGCCAATCGGAGAATCGCATTCGACAGTAACGTACCATCGGACTGCGGTGCTGCCTTAAAATGATATGTACGATACATGAACAATGCCTGCACTGTATAAACTATAAACGAATCGTTTCGACTACTCGAAATATTGACTTACAATTTTAATAAAACGACATTTCTATGAGCGTAATCACCTGTGCAATTTTTTTAACTTGTTTTTCCAACTCTCATCCGCGGACACAAGTTTTTTCACGACACTTATTCTTAGTCCACGAAAAAGAAAGCAATCAAGGAGAATGTTATACGTGTATTAGACTTACCGAAATGTCTCCATGAATGAATTCTATGTAGTTGCTGTAAAACGGATTGGGACCCACAAACAATCATGAGAAATCATGAAAAAGAGATTAAGTTTAACGTACACTACTGGAAAAAAGAGAAACGTAACGATGAATCGAGTATCGACAAAATTTTTGTTAAAAAGATCGATTCATTGTTAAGCCAGTTTTATCCCTTAAACAATTTTATATTATTTATTAATACATAGAATTTATCAATAATACTTTTAGCTAACAGTGTTACACGGTATTTTTTTTCTAGTTTCTCGAAAGTTGTCATTTTCTCGTCTTTCATTTTGCGAAATTATAATACATACATATGCGTCGAAGAGAAACTCGCTCCTCTCGATCGACTTCTCTTCCATTCTCTCTCTCTCTCTCTCTCTCTCTCTCTCTCTCTCTCTCTCTCTCTCTCTCTCTCTCTCTCTCTCTCTCTCTCTCTCTCTCTCTCTCTCTCTCTCTCTCTCTCTCTCTCTCTCTCTCTCTCTCTCTCTCTCTCTCTCTCTCTCTCTCTCTCTCTCTCTCTCTCTCTCTCTCTCTCTCTCTCTCTCTCTCTCTCTCTCTCTCTCTCTCTCTCTCTCTCTCTCTCTCTCTCTCTCTCTCTCTCTCTCTCTCTCTCTCTCTCTCTCTCTCTCTCTCTCTCTCTCTCTCTCTCTCTCTCTCTCTCTCTCTCTCTCTCTCTCTCTCTCTCTCTCTCTCTCTCTCTCTCTCTCTCTCTCTCTCTCTCTCTCTCTCTCTCTCTCTCTCTCTCTCTCTCTCTCTCTCTCTCTCTCTCTCTCTCTCTCTCTCTCTCGCTCTCTCTCTTGTCATTTTGTATACATTGCATCGTGTACTATTAGATCACAATTACAGGCCATACATACATATTTAATTACACATTACGACATTACATACACGTGTTACTGTATATATATTTATATATTTATAAATTACAGATCAGAGTTTAGAGGTACTACACCTCTATACATACATTTCAGGGAATGTTTCGATACTCTCGATCATCCGTTTGTTATCGAAATTCGATACTCGACACCGTCAGAAATGCTCAACTCGTTCGCGATGATCAAAATGAAACATTTCCTTCCGTGTCTCTCAACTCGATTCACATGGTTTTAAAAATTGTTCAGATCGAGATTCGTGTTCACATTAACCGTTACTGGAGTCGTTTTAAATATTCGTTGACCGCGTACCTAAGCATTCGTAAAGGATCAGGATGGAGCTAAGTACCATACTATCGGTTTTATCGAATTATCGATACTGTAGTTGTTTTCGCTCGTTTATATGTATGCATCAGGTTATTGCGTGTGGTAAAGAAATCGAATTTGACGAGCGAACAATCGAAAAAAACAATGCAAATACATCGATAACTGATTTTAGATCGTTCGATTAAAATATATTGCGACGTGCGAGGGAGGGGGGACTTTATATAAAATTTTACTGCGCACCTATCGATAAAAAGCTCGACGGACGAAATTATCGATTGATCTGTCATGGCGGGCGACGATCACGCGGGAAAAGCGAAGATGCATCATCGTTCGAAGGGTTTCTGTTCTTCCTTCGTTACTCGTTTCATACAATCGACATTCTTTTTAGATTTCAGTAATTATCGAGCTTAGCACAATACGTAAACTGTACGTATCTTTACAGAATTTCTTCACCTGTACAGAACATTTGTTTCTTTTTGCTTTCGTTTAATAATAATAAGATCAACAACGACACTACCAATATTTTTTTTACAATTAATCGTTACAGATTTCAGTTAACAGGATAATATCTAACGGCTACACAGCTTGATAATAATTATATGCTTGTAAAGGAATAAATTGTCGCAAAGGCAGGGATGATATATCTATAGGAGCAACAAATGGAGGTCGTAAATGTTAATATCTACTTTACCGACTCTTCTAACTTCGGTAACATCGTATCGAAAGCGACTTCACGGCGTTCGAACTAAACTGATGGCTTGAAAATTGACGAGGTAAATTTCTTCGAGATCTAGACGATCCACTTTTTAACATTTAAAATGGTAATGGTCATTTATAAAACATAATCCCGAATGAATCAGAAACGATGCTACGGTACGGTATAATAAGTGAGAGTGAGAGGCGATTCTACAAGTTCGATTACGTGTACAGAACAGAAATTTGTTAAATTGGCAAAACGATTTTACAACGAGTAAGTTTTTATTGTTAGCTTTCTTGCTTTCTCGCACAGTCGCACGGTTTCGATCGTATCCGAAGAAACATCGGTAGGCTTGTTGGTAACGCGTATAACCTCTAACTTAAATACCTTTCCTAAGATACCTATACATGCATCGTGTGTTTAAATGAATCTTCCCTTTTTAGATACAGAAACGCCGCCTTGGATATCGCGCGATAACGCGATATTACACGTAATTGAGATCACGAGCTGGAAACGTCATATCCCGAATGGAACTTTTCGCGAGTAAAGTCCTCCCGGGATTTGTTTAATGTACCAACGCAAACAGACCATCGTGCCGCGGATCGAAAAGTTTTGCGCTGTTTCAAAGAACGGAATACAATATTTTTCATATGATACAGCGTTTCGTGTGATACTTCTTCTACCGAGAGATTACATTCACCGGTGCAACTAAGTTGTATTGTCTGACACGATTCGATGGATCGTTTGACCAAGCACGTTTCCGAAAAACGCGCGTTCAAAGATTTCAACTAGTCGATCTATGTATATTCGCATTGACACGGATCAGAACAACAATCGGTAATCGACAGTGTTAATCGATAGCCCTAATTTGAATAATCTATCATTTCGGTTGGCATATTGGCCGACGTTATCGAACGTCGTTGACTCGATCGATTTAGTTTCTAACTTAAATAGACTTAGCGTTAACGTATGACCGGCGTGAACCTGAAACGTCATACGATCTTCTTACGAGCTAAGGACTAGAATAGACTCTTCTGTTCTCCTATGGAGGAGATAAAACGTCAAACAAAAAATCGAAAAAACCTTAACGGAAACTTACGTGTCTAGGTTGTTTGTCCTTATAGAATCATCTTATCTTATCCTATAGATAAATACAGACTCGTTTCACTTAATCTAAGCGCGGGAATTTCGAATTAGCTAACGTTGCCGCTATGTTCTCGATATCTTATGGAATCTTATGTATTACGTCGATTCGAAAAGCGCTCGAACAAACTGATATCGCTGTGTCTTCCTTGCGTGTCCCCATCGGCATGCATTCGCGAAACAGGCAACCTTTGATTATCGTCTACTTACGCGTTTAATAACCGTCGATTAATCTCGATAAATTAACCGTTAAAAATGACTAGATAACATTAGATATAGATCATCTGCAAGCTTAAAACGATACGGTATGCGGTTACGATCCTTCGAATTTTTAACGAATCCGTTTAATTAACAACTGTTGTCCCCCGATCGTCGTGCTGTTGCGATACGCGGTGTGTCTAAAAAACCTCCGTACACTTTGTTAAAGCCTAGTTAGCGTCGTATAGAACTCTACAGAAGAAACGATAAATATCTACATTGTATACTGTTTAACATTCGGATAGCTTAGAGCAACAAAGCGATTTAAAAATAATTCGGGTGAAACTGAAACGATTGTAGGACTCTGAAACATCGTGAATCCGAAGAAAGTAAGAAGGAACCGTTTATTGTATATCCGTCTTTGAAACATGTTGCCCGCAGAGCAAAGCTTTTCGCTGCGAGTGCGTATAACTACTTATCAAGCTAGACTGAACGTAAAATCAGTATTGTCCTCCCTTATAAATTACTCGTTTCGTACGTATATCTCTCGTTAATTGTTAACACGAACAACACACGGCGACGAACGTTTCGGGGATCACGAGGCGATATTCATACGTATATAGTATATCTATAGTTCTGCCAAGCAAGACTGAAAGCTGAAGGCGAGACTTGCCGACACGTACGAGGGCTAGAAGCGTAAGAGGCTATGGTAATTGTTATCCGTACGATACAGCTACAAATATATTCGACACCGACGTTAAAGTCTGTTGATAGGTCTAAAATTGCATGCTATGTATCCTAAAGAGAGGAAGATGAAGTGGTGGGAGAAAATGTTCCCCTCCTGGCAGAGGGCTCTCCTCCGTGCATGCGCGATTGAAATGTCACTCTCGCTTGGCACAGCTATGAACGCGCAACACGATCATGCGTGTTCGAAGCTACGGAAAATCTAAATATCTGACATAATTCTTCTTCCGCGTACGATCCATTTCGACGGTTCGTGACCCGCGAAACGCCACGTGCGTCGAGTCACAGGCATCGTTTTCTTTCTTTCAGTGTATACACACACACGCACACCTTAGTGTCAGCAAGCAATCTGTCTTTATCCTTTTACGAGACTCGTTATCTTAGTATTGTAACATCTTAACCCGTTACCTTACATACAGATTCCGGAAATTAATCGGAGTCATCCGAATCGGACTCGCCACCCGCGTCCGAGGCTTCACCCGGTGTCTCCGTTGTTGTCTCCGGGATCTTCCTCGTGAACGTCGCTGCCACGTATGCCGATGGTCCTTCGCCTTGCGTGTGTTCGATTTTCACTCTAATCGAAAGACGGAAACCTTGCTTACCGAATTGGTCATTCGTAAAGAGTCCGATCGTAAAGAGTGATTTAGAAGAGGATCGACGTACCTGTACTCGTGCCGGGATAGGTTTCTAACGTACTTCTCCGGCGGAGCGTCGCTGTCGCTGTTTTGAAAACTCACGCTTCTCGCGGTGGTGTGAGACACTTGAGTCGCGGGCATCGTGAACTCTACGTAGCAATAGTCAGGAAGCTTTTCATGGATTAGGTCGTAGGATGCGAGAGACATGCGACAGATCAGTTGATGCGTCGTGTATGCTCCTAGAATCGAAGGTTTCGATTACGAAAGAAGGGACGAGATAGTAGGAGCCGGCGTCATGGAATCGAATAGAAGTACCTTGGCCTTCTTTCGGTAACCTGGGCATCCTCCAAACGATACCACGATGTTGACTCTCGTATTTAGCCTGGCCCGAGGTAACCTCCATCAACTGTGGCTCTAATGTGTCTACCGCTCCAAGGAATCTTTCTATACCCTTGATCTTTCCTGTCCTCCTGTGGGCTGACTTTACGGATCCGTATCTGAAGTGCTTCTCAACCCTGAACAGATACATCCAGCAATTTGGAATGGGAAAACAGACCATTACGTCCTCGCAGGGCACCTGGCCTAATTTTCTCGACGCGAACCCAGGCACGAGGATGTCCGCCTTCAACTCTACCTGCCAACCGGAACAATAGGAAATTAAATCGTGATTTGTAGTAGGAAATGAAATGATATTGATAAATATACACATATGTACGTGTGCATTATTATTGGAGAGCAGGGTGGAAAGCGATATTACCTTGTTACCTGTAACGCACAGTACGGCTTTAAGCTGAAGTGGAAGCTCTCTGTTTTTAGGCGGTCTCACGCGAAACCTCATGAGTTCGATATAACATGCATCGGGTGGCTTAAACCTTCGAACGGGGGGTTAGGTGTTAATTACGGACGGTTTGTTAGCGCAGTTAGAGTTTGCTACGGAGACGCGTTAAAGGACATACTTAATGATTCTAGACTTTTCGTACTCGTCCTGCTGCACACAAGAATGGAACTCTACGTTCTCGAGACGAATCCACTCTTCGGTTACGACCGGAATAATATCGTGTCTACCAACCACTTCTTTACCCTGACGCCACATGTCGTTTATTCCTAGCTCAACGTCAGGCATGCCTGAAATCATTCGATGGAATAACATTGCTGAATGCAATGGTTCTGCGAATACGACTTACCGGAAAGGAAGCCGAGAAAGAACAGTCGAACACGAGCTATCTGTTTCTCCACGTGCCCTTCTGCGCTCTGTTCCACGTACAGTTCGTCCACCACCGTTATTTGCACCTCTTCCATCTTATAATGCAACGCCCTGTCTCTATGAGCCGATAGTCTGAATAAAGCCTCCTCGACTGCACTGGAGAACTGCTTCATGTCCTCGTAACTGTCCGAGCCTAACTTGAATAGCTGAGAAATCTGTGGGAAGTTCATTTTCGGATTGCAACTACCTTTCGCGGATAGAAGAGGAAATAGCTGAATATAAAGCGAATTACCTGCGGGGCATGTTCAACTGGAAGACCCAACTTCCTCAAATCGCTTCCAAACTCTTTTACCCCCTGATAATCACCTTGAATGGCATAAGCAGCGAATTGACTTAGCTTGTTAGTGAGTCTCTCCGCCTTGGTCACCTGACCAGGTCGAACGCCGGGTCGTTCCTTGTAGAAAATATACTGCAATTTCACCGTGAATAACTTGACAAAGTTATTGAACTGTTGCGCTCCTATGTCGGACAGTGAATAAGAAGGGAGCAGAGGTAACTCCTGGAAAGGATCTTTGTCGTCCCTACTGTTCAACAATTGCAGCACCGGAGTATCGCCTTGATAAACCAGCTTGACGAAGATCTTCTTCCAGAATCGTTGCCCGGTTATCTTCTTCTTGTTCGGTTGACGCAGATGCATGTCCCAGCCGTCGCCGGTGTACGTAACTCTCGGGAAGTCTTCCAAAGGCTGACTAACGTCTTCGTCGAACAGAGGTGTCGGTGGAGTTTCCTGGAGATAAATCGTCCCCTTAACGCTTACCAGTAAGCTTAGTTAACCCGCGTATAGAAGATAAAATAGTACTTGAGAATCTGTTCTGGTCAGTTCCGCCGGCTGGGCCGTTTCCGTAGCGGGAATGGCGTCTTGCGCTGATCCAAACTTATCGAAAGGATTAAATCGTGGCGATGTGTCCGTATAAGCCGTGTTCTGAGGACTCTTGGGTGGTGGGGCCAACGCGGGTACCACTCCGCCTTCGCCGTTCGCGGTTGTTTGTTCGTCTTCTTTTGGCCTTTCAAAAAAAATACGATATAGGGTCGTACAACTTAGGCATCGAACCTAAACGAATGCTTACTTGATGAACACGCTGAAATCTGGACCCTCGTCCGATTCCGCGGATTCGGTTCTCTTCACCTTCGGTTCCGCC